CAAATAAGAAAATGTAAGGATTCAATGGAAAACTTGAGATTTCACGCATCAGAGCCCACATTCCTTTTCATATACACAGCAGCCAACTGTCACATTTCACAGTACCAGGATATCCATTGTATAACGAGGCCAAATAGTTATGTGATAACATTAGTTTGCCATCTCACAGTCCCCGATGTTCAGTCTATGCAGTTGTGAAAAGCCACATAAGCACACAAGTAACATCACAAAGTAAAGAGGGTCTGGGCATAATACAAAAGAGCGAGGCTGTCTAATTCTGCCAACTCACATTTATAGTTTGGAATATAGTGAGGTTTTAGCATTTGTTCTGATGTATTTTCAGGACAGAAACAGTTTGGTCATATCTCAACATGGCCAAACTATGTGACTACCTGTGGTTTAAAATAATGTGTCGTGACACAGTTGGCTACTGTGCTTTTATGTCATGAAATGTGTCCAGAGAGCCCCATCACCAGGGAGGGTGTGTTCACGCAATGGCTGCCAGGTAGTCTTTCACCTCCGCTGGGGTGAGTCTTCTGAAGCCGGCCTCGTTGCAGATCCCCACCTCAATGTTCTCCTCTGTCATCTGACCCTCAAAACTCTCCTGAAACACAAAGATAGTAAGGTATAAATGAAGGATACTACTAAGGAAATATGTTCTATATCTTAGGTATTTTCATAACAAATATCATACCTTCAATGTCAAGATGGCTGTGTGGATGGCATCCTCCAACTCCAGATCGTTGTTATACCTGGAGAGGACAAATAAGTGGTTATTTAACAATCTGTGAAGTGTAAAACAAATTGAGTATGCTTTGTAATGCTTTCCTGTATATTATTCGAAGTTCTTGTTCCAGTTCCTAAACAATTTTGAGTAAGCTATGTGAATAATGCCCTTTTAATACATAGACATAAGTGCCAATATTATATAGTGAGCCATTGCGAAATCAAATTCATTGCATTTGTGTCACCGAAACATGAATCCTGAGAATCATGGATTTCTATAACTCAAGTGAAGCGGGTGGCATCCTTGTGGATCTTTCTTGAGTGCAAACTACAAATCACTTGGATGGAAAGCAACGCTTCAGCCCTTATTCTAGACTACACTGGGGCACCTATTCAATCTATCAGGCATTTAAAAACATTTTATAAATGACATACAGACTTCGCTCAAAGTTGCAATAATATACCAGACTTTGAATGCATCACATCTCCAAAAATTACCACAACAAATAAGTATTTTTACACCTGTCTTGTGTTGATCTTTTCTTTTTTTTTTCATACTCTGTAAAGCACTTTGGGCTGCGTCAAGCATGAAAGGTGCTATATAAATAAAGTGTATTATTATCATCATCATAAAAGTTCAGAGCACTCAGCACTTATTGTGGGAGACACTAATTGTTGAATACAAAAACTAAGAAGCTCACATCTATACATTTGCTGTCTGCAAAATCTATTTATTTTATTAATTCGACAAAAATTGCCTTTTATGGTAACGTCTTACCTTTTTTCCAGGAATGTTTTTCCATTAACGTAGTTCTTGCCCATGGCTGTGGCTTTCCATGCAAAATATGCACCCTGCCAGCAAGAAACAGAGGAAAATAAGTGATTATTATAAAAGAGTTCGACTCACAGCAGACTAAGAACATGGAATAAGAGTTGAGCACACTCCAAACAACATGTGCTACCAACCAATATGAAAGTTAGTAATACAACATACAGAGGGGTCTGACTGGAACAGGTAGGGTTGGCCTTCATCCCATCCGGCAATCAGCAATGAAACACCAAACGGACGCACCCCACTGTAGGAGAAAACAACACAGGTTCAGTTAAAAATAATTCTGACAGATAGAGTCTATAGGCGCTTTCACACCAAGTACTTTGCCGTACTTAGTTCTGATGAACTAAAGAGCAGATCGCGTTCACACCGCAATAAGTCTCTGGGGGTGGATTAGGCAAATGAAGCCGTTGACGTCACTTCTTCTTCTTCTGCTTTGGGTTTACTAGCAGACCGCAAACAACTTCACGGCGGATACTGCCGCCCGAAGTCCCCGGGCCGGAAGTCCACGAAGTTGGGGACTGGCTTCAGTAGAAGCTGCTGGGACCCATTTCTGATTGGCTGGGCGGATTGCAAACCACGCCCCGTAAAACTCTCAAAAAGTTTTGTGATGCCGCTATTTTATTTTCTTCGCATTGCCATTATCATCATTAGCATTAGCCCAGCGCACAAACGGAGAGAGACTAACTTATGGCAACACAAAATGAAATGGTTGTCATGAACTAAGTACTAGTTCCGGATTTTTTTGGTGGAAACGCACATTTTCGGAACTATATATCGGAAATATACTGGGAAAAGTACTCCGGTGTGAAAGCGCCTATTATGTAGTGTTTGTATGAGTGCTTCTTCATGTTTACCCACCCGGACTGTGTGTACTCCTGCATTACAGAGGCCACTCTCTGGACGAGCTGGCCTGTGGGGATGGGCTCCTGGTAAACCAGGAAGTACTGTTGTGCCAACTTCCGAGCTCGTCGCACCAAAACCCTGCAAAGACACAACTCGTTAATTTATCTGTGAATGCTAGGCTCAGTTGTCAGACAAACACTGGTTTCATCTTCTAGATTTCTCTCACACAGTCATCAAAATCCTGAATCATGCATTTTAAAACCTTGGGCACACAAGATATAAGACACTTTTCATTACGCTAACTGTTGACCCAGAAATCCCCCGCCCCCTTTCCAATCATAGAGGATCTCCCCATCCCTTAAATGAAACACCTGAATTATACAAGGAGAGAGGAGAATTCTTCAGAAAGGAATGGATTTGCTTTAGCCGTTTATAATAACCTAACACAGCCCATTTTCACAAGACCTCCCCTATAGTTCTTTTAAAGCCTTTGGACATCAGACAGAACAAAACGTTGTGTCTCAAGATAGCAAACGAAACCTCAGCAAAAGAGTCCCCACCTGTAGTCAGGACCCATTCCACTGTAGACCATGCCTATGTGTTTAGTGATGGGCTCCACTTTGTGGACGCTCTGCTCATCATACAGAATGGACTTTTGTTTCTTCTCTGTTGCCAGGACAACTCCATTGGAAGCTGAAAGTAAAAGACAAATCAAAATTAGCATCTTCAAAAATGTTAACTTTCTAACCAGCTTCAACTATATGTAATGCATACATTTGAAGGACATTAGTGGCCAATTAGGTTTCTGCACCAGTGTCTGTGACATTGACCTATTGACTTGTCTGAATACAAATCAGGTCCTTTGTTTTAATAAGCTTGTAAAACCCTCATTGTGCAATACTGCCATATTTTGCCCCTGAGTCCCACTTCCCTCTGCACTTGCAGTTGTGTGTTTCTGTGGCAGAAATGGTTCACATCCATGCGTTCCCATGGTAATGAACCCTTTAGCAATACATGCATTTAAGGATTATACACCTTTCAAGACATAGAGTATTGTTGCATCCTCTGATATCAATTCGTCATCTAACAAATGTGGATTATTCTATAACATGTTTTTTTCAACGCTAAGCATGCAGCGTATTTCATCAATATTTAAATAATATTAAAATACATGGGACCCACTTTGTCTAAAAAACATAGTTATAGTTTTTCTCCGCACATTTCCATGACTTACCTTTGATGCCCACTGAGGGAGCTCCGGCTGCTACGGCTGCCAGGGCATACTCAATCTGGACCAGTTTACCCGAGGGGCTTCAGAAAGAAACAAAGGATGCTGCATTACTATTATGTTGAAAGACAACATCTACTAAACGTTAACGGCTTCTGTAGTAAAGTTTCCAAACGGGAGCTCATGTATTATGGTCAACAAAGACGAAACCGAAAGCTAAAACAACCGACTCATCTGAGCTATTGTAGCTAGCTAAGCTAGTTTTAAGTTATCATGTGGAACTGAACTGTTTCGGGCTATTCAGTGACACGCTTTCAAATACAAATGTGTGGCAGGTTTTTTATTTTATCATCAATATGAGAAAAAGTCACTTTTTAACTGTTTCATTTGAAAACACATTAGCCAACATGCTAACAGTTTGCATTAGCCGATTCATTGCACTACCCGGCGATGACAGTGCATCAGCTACAACTTTGGCCCAAATCTGCTTTTACTGTCAAAATGCAAAACCCTGCGTATACGTTATCGAACTGCCATTCAACAACAACCTCTACGTGCTGAAAATTAGGATGCTAATTTCAAATTAAAGGTAATTTTTTGAAAAGTTTACCTAAATGTGGTGAGGGAGAAACTGTAGCCTCGTTCCGCCATCTTGTTCTTCTTCTTCTACTCTGTGTTGCCTGGAGACTTGCACATCCACTGAAGAGTGCACACTGCCACCTATAATAGTCACTGGACATGAACACCCACCCGGCCTGCCGTACAACCTTTGGATACATAAGAAATGCAATTGTTTTAATAAAACAAAATAATATATTCTTCGGAATATACATGATGAGGAGATGAGTCATTGCCTCACAAATACTTTATTACAGATAAGATGTAGAGAGGTTGATCTAAAACAAGTTTTACAATGCAAAGTAATTCAATAACTTTAAAACTTGTATGTATTGTCAGTAATCCAAATCATAGAATCTTATAGAAAAAATAAATGCATTATTTATGAACATTTTATATTCAGATTCTTTACTTATGACATCATTATTATAGAAAATGCATGTGCATATTTCAGATATCTTACTATATTTATAATGATAGCCTAATTATATGTATATACTTAACACATGTGCTTGCTACTAAATAATCACAGCATTTGTATTTTAATTTATTCACAAATCTTAAATAATAAAAAAAGAACTAAATTCTAGAAAAAAGTTTGGTGTTTTGTTGAACCATAGAGACTGATTTAAAGTATAATTAATTAGTTAATAAACAAAGTTGAGTGTATTTTAGAAAATGGCCGCTAGGTGGTAGTAAGACACCTAGATGACTTTCGCCTGCCTGCAATTAAACAGAGGAAGAAGCGTGGTCTGTCGCAGTTTGATGACGATTATTGAGTCTCTGTGACCGTGAGCTGTTTGACATGTACGGAAAGCAAGCGTGCTGACCAAAACAATGATGAATTTAGCCACTTTAGTGAACAGCCTCAGATGCTCTCTGCTGAGCATTGAGAGGAGACTTCTGCAGGCGGCCGGACTAGAGAGACAGCTGGGTGAGTTTACTGACTGGAGCCCAGCAGGCAGAAGGTTATTCTGTTGCTGACCATCGACACAAGCCCTGTCTCTTAAACAGATTCCTCGTGCTGAATTTAATGTTAAGGTGCAGTGAAAGCTAACTTGTAACAATGTATTTCCTGTGCAGCCCCAGCGCTGACAGTGGCTGGCCCCAGTCTCCTGCCTCAGGTCGACAGGGAGGATGGGCTGGAGGAGCAGCAGAGCCCGGATCAGCCTCCTGGCCTCACAGACGGTATCATGTGGATGGCAGTGCCCAAAAAGAGACGCACTATAGAGATCAACCGCACCAGGAGGAGATCTGAAATAAATATGTTACAACTCAAGGTACTCTATGGATCCTCTCAACTTGTCCTTGTACTCTAACCCAACTGTTCTCCATTGCTGTCTAACTTATAAAGCTTTCTAGTGCTGATTGTTAGTGATTGAATATATGAGCGGCAACTCATCCCTGTACATTTAAAGCTCAATAGCAGCAGTTTTCAGCAAGTTAAGCTCTAAAAATGACATTTAGGAAACTCACAGAAACATCTCAGTTAAAAGGTAATTAAATGTTTCCTAGGATGAAAGTTGGAAGAAAGCAACGTTATGTTTTTTAACACAGCTAATCAGACTTCTTATAGCATACATATTACGATATGTGTGGATTATTCACTGTCAACCAAGTGAACCAATATTCCTAATGGAACCTAACAACTGTTAAAGTTGAGAACCCCCTTGTGACTGACTGATACAGGAAAACATTCCTGCCCACTGCAATAACTCTCTATAACAAATCACCTCTGGGTGTCAGAGAAGTCAGTGCATGACATTAAGGATTTTGGGAGATGGCCCTGTGGGCCATCTAAGCTAATTTACAGATGGCCCTGAGCCCAATAGAGATTGCCCTGAAAAATGCGCGCGGACGAAATGACGCACGAAGGGTTTTGGGGGGCCTCCCCCTAGAAAATGTAGATGTTTGCAGGTCTTAGATGCTGTCTGGTGCATTCTCTAGACTGAATTATAAGATGAACCACCACAATATTATATTGTTCAATTTTATTCTTCATTTCACTTGTTTGTTTGTGCTTAAGAAATACTTAAGTTGTTGGTCAAGACACTTTCCATCTGATGAAGGCAAATGCCTTCCCAGATGTAAAAAAGTAGAAAACATTACATTCAGTTATAACTGCCAAAACAAACATTATTTACACTATTATGGCCCCTGTTAAAAATGTTTGTAATGTTATCTACTGTAAGTTGGTCGAATGAATGCCTCCTCATCCGGAAGCTGACCGAGCAGACCCGAGCAGCAGTCGAGAGGAGCCGAGCGCATCCGCGAAGCACACTCTGGCGACGTCAGAGTTCCCGTTAGCCGGCAAATCTAAATCTCTTCGGTCAAAATGTCCGGTCAAAATAATTTCCCTTTAGAGCAATACCGCTTCAGTTGCGCCACTTATGTGACAGACAAGAAGAGTCAATTCTAATAACACTTAATGTGGAGAAAGAGATGTCCTGTATGGGTTGATTGTGCGTTGATCTGTTGGTAATGCCTCTGGGTTCCGGTGGGCATGTAAACAAATGCATAATGCTGCGCTATACTTTGTGGCCTCACCCAGTTGCATAGCGACACTTATTGTTTAGGTGTCTTTTAATAAGCAGGTAGTCATATCATTAGCTAGAACTAGCTGGATCTGATCGATATGGACATAAACGCGAGTGAAGTCTAATCTGACGGGAGAGAGAGATCAGCTGCTGCTGACGAGTCGACACGCAGCTCTGCATAATCACATGCAGCGGTGAGCGGAACAAAACACACACTTCAGGTTAGAATATCACACGTAGCTATTTTAATTACCTCTCAAACTAGTTATAGATATGTTTAGTTTTACTGTCGGGTCACTCATTACTGGATCCGCAAGCTGCATGATACTGGCATAATAGATTGCCCGATCGGCAACCAGCAGGTGAGGCTTCATTGCCCGAGCTAAATACTAGATGGCCCCGGGCCATCGGGCAGTCCTTAATGTCGAGCCCTGAGTCTCTGCTCCATAGTTTCTCTTGGAATAAAATCACACTGTACATTTTACATTTATATATTCAATTTAATATAAGTATGTCACATACTTATGTACATATAATACCTTGCTTTATATCTTGTTATTGTTAATTTGTAAATTCAAAATGTATATTTTCTACTTTCTTGTTTATTTCTTGTCTTTTAATTTGTATTGTACAATGCCATGTATTTTTGTGCTGCTGCAACACTAACATGTCCCAAATTGGGATCAATAAAGTACTATCTTATCTTATTTATATATTTCAATTTATATTCAGTACTTAAGTAACATTTCACATTCTGTAAAATCGTTTTGGAGCACTTGGTGGTCAACAGTGTGAAAAGCCTTCCTGAGATCAAGGAAGACAGCACTACATATGGGCTCGTGTCCAACATACATTTAACCTTTTCCACAAAGACACAGTTAGCTGTCTCAGTGGAGAGGTGAGCACGAAAACCAAACTGCATTGGGTGGAGTGGAGCGAAACCTTTATCTAAATGTTTGGTGATTAGTTTTGACTAGGGATGCACCGAATATTCGGCCACCGAAAATTATCGGCCGAAAATGGTTAAAAGGGCCCTTTCGGTAGCACCGAAAAAATATCACCGAATGTCAGAACAGGCTTACGTTGGTAACCTAACGTGTTGTTGTGATGACGTAATAAAGACGCGGCGACCATGCTCGCGGCTGGCTCACAGGGGGGGGGGCATTGACCTTTGTCATCGAGATTGCCCTGAGCCTTTAACAAATCGTATTAAATAATCTGATGACAGACTGTAAACAGAATAGCTGAAATTTTAACAAACTAAATAACTCAGTTTCCTCTAATCATTAACCCATGTTTGTATAATGTAGTTAACTCCGTGTGTTGCTGCTAGCATACATAACACCTGACGTGGAAACGTTACTCGTGATGGGGCCACAGAGCTACTAGAGAGACAGTGGAACCCGGTACATTCCTCCGTCTGCATGCGGTGCACTTTTGCTAAATGTTTAGACAAATTGCTCGTGCTTACATGCTAAACTCTTATTGCACTTATGGTAACAAGTATTCTCCACATCGAGACGGGTAAAGTTTAACCACACCTCGGAGCGCGTTCTCTCCGCCATCTCCGCAGTGTGCTCCGCTGCATGTAGCAGCTGCGTGTGTGTAAACTGCCCCGCCCCCTCGCACACAGACGGGGGAGAGAGATCTCGTCTGATCGAAAATACATCATAGACGAATTTGTTGTCTTTGCATATTAGAAACGAGTTGGCGACACTAAGACTGCGATATAATGTTTTTTAGCAATAATACATGACATATAAATGTACTGTATGCATTCAAAAGTGCTGAATAAATGTTTTATGGACCCATAATAGTGATTATTATTTAAGTTAAGTTTTGCCATAATCATGTCTATTTCCATAATCAGAACAACATTGGTAAAAAATGTATACATTATATATATATATATTTCTATTAATCATTTTCGGCCTTTCGGAATTCGGTTTTCGGCCAACTGTTTCCTATTTTCGGTATCGGTTTCGGCCAAGAATTTCCCATTCGGTGCACCCCTAGTTTTGACACCCATTTCTCAGCTACCTTTAGAGACACAGGGGAGGATGCTGATTGGTCTGTAATTGGACATTATTGCCTTATCCCCAGATTTAAAAATCGGTGTCACCGTGGCCACCTTCCAGGATGATGGAACTTCCCTCGTGCTGATAGATTGATTCACTAGCATAGTAATTGGTTTTATTAGACCGTCGATATGTGTCTTTTATAAAGTTGGTGTCGAAATCATATGCATCCCTAGCCTTAGAACCTCTTAACCCTAAGACCTCAAGGTCTAAAACGGGGTGTGTATCCACAATCGGGCTAGGTGAGACCTCAGATGGCAGGAAGAACTTTGTAATGTCCAGAGCACTATTTAAGAAATATTCATTGAGAGAGCTGGCCAACACTGCAGGGTCTTTTATCAGGGCATCATTGATTTTTAATTCTAGTACATTATTTTCCTGTTTGGTTTCTTTACCTAATAGTTTATTTAAAGTGGACCTATCATGCTATATTTGAAACATATATTTTAGGGCCATACCTATATAAAACATGTCTGTGCAGATCCTGCATTTTAGCCATGCCTCATTTCGCTCTATTTGCTCTTTCCAGCCCTGTTTTTGCAAGGGCTGATTCTGCTTTTGTGGCAGACTACAGCGCCACTTACAGGCCTGGCATATGTACTACAGCGTCTCCAGCGCTTTCGAGCGGTCTCTCATTCCCCTGTTAGGTGGAGAGTTGCCCATATAGGCGGAGCACCCCTTTTCTGACGTCAGAAAAATTCAAATAATAATCAGCTCCGTTGCAGCCCCGTTTTTAGAGATTTTGGTATGGAGGAAAAGAGAGAGGGTTGTGTTTTCTGACACTTGGTGAGTTCCCTGACACACCGGGGACACATATTCATGTATAAAAGACGTACTAAAGTGCATTTTGCATGATAGGTCCCTTTTTAAGGTTTGCCAAACTTTTTTACCGTTACCTTTCGCACCTTCAATTATGTTGATGAAAAACTTTGCTTTGGCCTGTCTTATTGTTTGTGTTACTTATTAGTTATTAATATTGGTTGATACTGATAGTAGCTGCTTGTTAGCTGAGCTCATATGCTATCATTATTAGTTTATATGTTGGATTATAAGTAGCAACAAACTGCGGTAAAGAAAATAGATATTTCCTAAGTTATTTAGAAACATTGTTGGACCCACTGTTTCTCTCTTTCTCTCTCAGACCAACATCGAGCCATGTCCTGAGTGTGGCCACTTGAAGCAGAAACACATCCTGTGCAGCTTCTGTTACGCCAAGGTGTGCCGAGAGACGTCAAAGATTCGGCAGCAGATGAAGGCGATGGAAGGGGGGGCCCATGGGGCGCCGGCAGTGGAGACTGTCATCCTGTATGAGGGAGAAACACCAAGTGAGCTGGACAAAGACAAAAGGATTGTGGAGAGGCCCAGGAAGAGGCCTGCCTGGTTCAGCCTCTGAGGTATTCATGCTGTTTTTGATACCAAAGCTGATTCTTGATGTAGTTATCTCTGTAAAGATACCGTACCTGATCATTGATTTGTGGGTTTAAGGCTCACACAGCTACATATTTGAATTTTTGGTTTAATTTCATTTGTCACTTTTTCAACTGTTTGTCATATTCTCAAATTGGATACATTTACTGTATGTTTGAATATTTGACAATACATTCTTTATTTGAAAAAGGAAATGATGTGCTTCTTTGTTGCCTTAAATTCAAAAACTCAAATGAGACCATTCAATGTAAAGACTTACCATTGTGTTAGTCAAAAAATCTTACTTTATCCACTTTATGACACAGAAAAAACAATTAGGTTTGATAGTTGTGCTCCAAAGTCATTGGCACAATAAAGGGGGGTCAAGAGTATTAGTGTCTACCATAAGCTTTCATTAAGACTACAGCTTTTTATCATCCTCTGAATAAACCCAATTTTAAAATAGCCACAAGCTTTTTATCAGTAACACAAATATGGTTATGAATCACTTGGAATCGGATGTCTTAAGATTTCAAACATTTATGAAAAGTGTTCAAGTGATGCATCCTTCTTGGCTTCCTTGTGATGGAAACTAATCGCCACTTGTTCTGATCTTGAAGGGATGCCTGTTTGTGAAAGTGTGTTTGTGTTGCCACAGCAACATCTATTAGTCAGGATTCAGCATCAAACTGGAGTCATGTAATACTGGCTCTTGTGTTGCGGGGGGGGGGAACAGACTGTTTTTGCTGGGATGAGTCCAGCATACCTTTCACTGCCTCAGTCACACCGTCAACCCCCTCTGATACAGTTTCACCCTCCAACTGATGGAAGTGGGGCAGCCAGCGTTCTCCTGAGAGGAACTAAAGTTATAGTATGTCAGTGGTGTCAAATTGAACAGGATATTAGATATTAACAAACAATGTATGTCAATAAAAGTTCAGATAGTGTGTAACCAAATTACTTACATTTCAGAATTCCAGCAAGGTGTTTTTACCTGCCTCCCAAACATCCTTCACATCCTTCCATTACATCTGAAATATGAAGATAATGAAGCACTTCTGAACACAAAGAGCATGGAATAATGAGATCCCTTTACAAATCAAATGAGTCTCCCAACAAAACTTTTCTAAAACTCAGTCATAAAGTAGAATCATTTTGCCCAAGGATCTGACGTCTCTTTGGATTAAGACTGTCAGCCAGTGATCTGATTTCCCTCAGCTGTTTCCTTCCTGTGACATTCGGTCTATGTGAGAGACATCCGAGGAGTTGGAGAATATTTTCGTTGACATGCTGGGATAAACCCTGGATTCATGTCATTTAAGCAGACTGGTTGTTATATATCTGTCAACACATGCACACTTTCATAGTCTGGAAGTAAACATAGAAGACTTTCTTTATATCAGCAGTCGGAGTCGTTGTAAGTAAGTACATTTACTTAAATGCTGTAGAAGTGAATTGTTGCCATAGATGATTTCAGTATTTCAATTTTTGGCTACTATATACTTGTACCCTTTTTTCTACTACATTTATATACTGTAGGCCATTTTGTATAACTTAGTTTTAGTATTTTGATTTCATATTGATGCTAAAACCTGATGTAAAAATCAGCACTTAACCTGTGACAGGGTATGTTTACACTGTAGTTTTGCTACTTCTACTTAATTATCTAAGTATATCTTTCACCACTGGGTTAATGATATAACATAAATAATTTCCATAAATGAAATCATTGGCGTTTCATTAGGTTGAGTCATGTTACAGAAAGAGCTAGTGCTCATTTTCAAATGAAAACCAACCTTCAGGATGCCTGGAGTAAGGACATTCACTACAAAGTGATGCAGAGGAGTAAAAATAGAAACAAGGCTGAATATTTAAGACATCGCCAAACACACTCACACCTCAGACTGCTTGGTACAGACGTTGACGACAACACATGATTTGATCACTTTTTGTGTTTGTCTCCTTTGAGTTCTATGTGTGTCAAGTCAGACAGGAGTGAAAAAGGACACGAAAAAGGCTTTTTACACAGAAGTTAAATTCTCACTTTCAAAACAATCCCACAATGCACTGTGTGAGCAGAGGTGGCTGCTATCTGGTGAACTCCTACTGTGATCTTCAGGAGGAGAACCAGTGGAAGATGGAGAGCTACAAAGCCTGCTGGGTGAGCCTCGTCCTGGAAACCAGACCACAATACAAGTAGGTCGTTTCCTAATCAAATTCAGCTTTTTTCTAATTTTGGTTTGTATGGATCACTGCCATACAGGTTGGGTTTTTTCTGCTGTATTTTCTCTGTTATGTTTATGTGAACTCTGTTGAATATTTGTAGATACAGTCCTCAGTATTTGATAATCATCAGAATAAAGGGTAAAGGTACAGCAGCCCATGTGTTTGTTTCACTGTAAACACACCATGTGGGCGAGCTTTTGACCTTCAGTCCACACTGATTCACTTACATAGGGCTATTGCACCGCCTTGTTTGGTTTGAAACCTTTTTTCTGGTGGCTAATTGAACCCATATCCTTTGTGCTTCCTCTCATGTTCAACCTTTTTCAAAACTTAGGCAGAAAATACTTTGTTGAAAATCATTAAAGACGGGTCAGACATTAAGCTGTCAGGATTGGAAGAGAGCAAGGCAGGTTTTTTTATAGTTGTTTTATATTTGTTTCCAATAATCATCAAATTATTACGAATTAAGTAAGTACATTTATTATATTATGACCAAATCATGCCTTTTGTACTTTTGTGTAAACGATTGAGACTAGTATGCTGTCATTCTATACAATGGACACGTTTGAAAAACATAAATAAATGACATCATTGATTATTTTGTAGTTTGTTCCCTATATCCTAATTTCAGAAAGTTCGATATTGTAGAAAGGACGAACACTTAAAGAGACCGCCACTAAAACTGAGCATTTAAAGCAGATCATTCATACAGGTACGGTATCAGGCATACAGTGTGATGTGTTTTTTGACAAATAATGTCAAGATGTTCTAGTAAAAAAAAAGTATGAATCTGACAAAGAAAACAATAGGTACCCTTTCAATTATTTAAAAAACATAACCTATATTTCTTGTAGTGTTGTCAAAACTGTGACCAGCTTTAAAGTTTCAACTAAGCAAGAGAAGTGAAGAAGCAGTATTCACCCTTGTCTACAAGTTATTTGAAAACGCTTGAAAGAGATCTAATGATCACGTCGCTCTACTTTTGTGTATTACAGAGAGTTAATAAAAAGCATTTTTCTGGTGTTCTTAATGTGTTCCAGGCTGACTCTCTCAGAGACAGACAGCGTCCGTAGAGAGAGTTACAAGCAGCAGCAGGTGATCCACTTCCTGGTGGAGAGGAGCCCCAGCCAGACCCTGAGGCTGGGCAGCAGCAGAAACATGGCAGAGCACCAGCTCCCCTTATCCAACACCAGCAGCTCATTTCATACCACAACTAAACAAAAGCCAGTCATACAAGAGAAGGGAAATAAAGAAGAGGACAAACAGGAAGTGACTGCCATTACTCAGGACGTCAGCAAGCCACTCAGAGAGAACTTCAGAGCCTCCAGCCTGATGTCCTCGCAAAGGGAAACCTCCAGCCGGGTGCAGAGGAGGGAGTGAAGAGAGGAGTCATTTAAAATTCAGAAAATATAACGTAGCCTTTGTTATTGTCGTTTACATACAGTACTGGTGTTGGTTAAACAAAATGTGCTTCTAAATGTAATCAGCTTAACTGTGACTTTCAGTGACAAATGAAAGTGTTGATTAATTGTTTTCTCATTTTCTATGTTAACTATAATTCAAACTCCAAAAAACAACACCTCTCATAATGTTCTTGTGAGTAGTGCTGTTGACTGATTTAAAGAGAGATTTACTGGATTCTATTCTCCTAATTCGGTTGGCAAATTATTATATTTAAAACATACATTTTGGATTGATGAATCCAGGAATGATGTGCTTTATTTTGCCTAAAATGAATGTTTGTATGCATGTCTTGTAGATATGAACGAATTCTGAAACAGGTTTTCAACAATGATTGTAAATGTTTGTCATCGTCATTGGTTCCCAACAAACAAAGTAGCAAAGCTTCTTGAAACATTGTCTGGAATCTATATTTATTATTGTTTTACCTGGCCTTGAAGTTAATAAACGGTCCTGTCAGAAGATACAACCAAAACACTTAACCAATAGGTTCAATGTATTCCTGCTGGAAACTGGTTTAATGTATGCATCTTCATGAGCTTTTATGTTGAATGATCATTCTTCAGGGAGCAAATCCAGTGGAAGCCCCCCCCCTCCCTGTGGTAAGTCAATAACATCATAAAGGCAGCCTCAGCGAACTGATATATATGGTAAATGCAGCAGCACTTTTGAGAGTGTTAGAATAACAGTCCGGAAATGAAGTCCTTAAACCTGGAATTTATTGATTTATTATGATTTCACATAGTTCTAAGAGTCAGTACATTTGCATTTATGGCATCATATCCAGCACTTAATCACCAAGTTATGGTGCAAACAAAAAAAGAACATTGAGATGTTTGGCAACCTTATAGAAAAGCTACTGCTTTAGTTAATCCATTCATCACAGGGGTGCAGTGTGAGGGTGCTGTTTGACTATTTCTGTTGCAGTTTGGTGGTAAGGTGTTGCAGTACTGAGCAAAACTTTGAGCTCTATCCCCTTATTTAGATTCACATGCACGTTCAGTGTCCAGTCTCCCTGATAGTTAACCTAAAAGCTCCCACAAACCAGACAAAGTAAACAGATATACTATGCTTTTGGTTCTTGGCCATGAATCATAAACGTCAACAAACATATCGAGTGTAAAAAGAGATGTTCTTCATGGATAAAAAACAAATAAAGTCCCACAAATATCATGATAAATATCCCCGAATCAAGTGTATCAACATGCCAACAACACATTCTACGACTTTGCAGCAAAATAATGTTAGAAACATATTTTCCATGTGTTAATGGTTCCCGTTTTCTGTTGAACACATTGTCTATTTATTGTCTTTTTCTTCCTGAAGACACTTGCAGCCAGCAACACATAGATGTGCAATATCACATCATGGAGTAATACAAGGGAATCCTAAATGCAAACCTGAGGTGGACAAACTTTCATTTTCCAGGTCTACAATGTATCCCTGTGAGCAGTAATTCATGGCACTCATGGAGTTAAATGGATACAATTGTTGTGATTCATTTTTGCTAAGTAGAAACAAAATACACTCTGTACATCATTAATTGTCCATCCAATATGGATATCATCATAGTGGATTGTTATCAACCTGATCTCACCAGAATGCGTGACTCCACCACCACTCCTTAACCAGTTAAGCCCGAAGGTCCCCCCAGTGGACCCCTCCCACAGTAGTTTTTTTCTTACATGTCTCAGGGCTTCTTAACATTTATGAAACTATTAATGTTTCATACCCTTTTAAAGGTAAGAAACTCCGCTAACTGACAATAAGAACAATTGTTAGCTAAAAAAAACACAAGAGTAATACCAAGCCTTTGAATTAGCATTGAGCGGAAAAAATGCTAACTAATGCTAACGCTTTTTTACACACAACACACGGTAGAAATGCCCTTATTACTATCTTAACTGCACAAACAAGATATACGATTTAAAGCTGAGACTCCACAGATTCCACACATGTAATGTCATCACTGTCCGACCTCGAATTCCTGGAGCTATCAGCCAGAAAAGAGAAAGTAAACAACATCCGGTTTCAAAAATATTACAATAATTACATCTTACCTTTTTTGATTTGTGATCAAAAGTTGTGTTCAACGGAATAAAAACACATCTCAAGGTTAATCCAATGTCTTTGTGTCACGTATAATTTTTTACTGATAATCAATCATCATATTTATGGCAATATACTCGGTATAAAGTATTGCCGTCCAGGCTTGCACTTTCAGCTATGCTTCGTTTGCTTCTCTATTACGTCCGCTATGGTAATGTTTACGTAGATTTGGGAACTGCCCATCGATTCTATTGGTTCTGATGGTTAAGAAAAAGGTGTAAATCACACGAATCGACCAATGGGTTCCAGAGATATGGTCCTGCGTAAACTATAAAGAATGCCAGCCAGCTTAAGTACATTACGCAGCCGACTTCATTTATTGTTTACAACGTAAAGAATCAGGAAATGCAGCAGGACCCAGAGCGCACGGAGCACAGAGCGGACAGCAGATAACGGAATTGCAGTTGTATTGCTTATAGATTATCAGAACATTTCAAAGGGGACACAGCCCCATTGGATATTAATCTATGGATTAACTACATCATCGTTTTTATCGTTTTAATGCCATTGAAGACCAGTTTAGACCAGACAACGAGGAAGGTAAGTCATTGTTAGCCTAGCGCATTAGCGCTAGCGCCATTTGTTTTGATGTACGTTTTTGTTGATAACGTCGCGAGTTTGTATCTTTCAGTGTTGGGCTGTTCAGGTGGGCACCGTTAGATTCTGTGTCTCCTTGCGATCATAAACAATGTGTTGGATGTGCAGCTAGGATAAGTAATAAGGGAGCGAGGAGTGATTTTCGGTGCTGTAATAGGTTAGCATTTTTCGCTCGGGGCTAATTCAGAGGCTCACTGTAAGAGTAAGCCTATGTTTTATTTTATTTTATTTTATTTATTTTTTTCACAACAGTTGTATTTGGATGGAATTAATACCTATAGTGATAATTCAAAGTAATAAAATGATTTTTACAGTGAAAAAGTTCAAATGGAACCGATGGTTCCCAAATTACCCAGAGGTGAGTCCGCTTAGACTTTATTTGTCTAAATCTCTCTAAAAATGTCAAATTTCACTTTTAGGTGGACATTAGAATTTACATGTTTTTACTATGTTCCATCTGAACTTACTTTAAAATAAAAACATCTATATTGATTCTGACACTTCTACATCCAACTCACAGATGTAACCTTGCTTTGAGAAAAATAATTATTAATTTACCCCTTTTAGAAGTGAAGATATATCATTTGTTGTGTTAGTGGCATTTTCGAGCCTGAAACCTGAAAAACAGGCTCAGGGCTTAACTGTGTGACAGTCGCAGATTGATCTGAGTGTTTCTTATAAACTGTAGGGGCAGGGGAAAAGGTTAAGGCATGTAGTTTAGATTCAAATTAAAGGAAAATCTATGATGCATGTGTATTATCCTCGCAACTACAGTCGTTAAATGTCCACTTTTATGTAAGGTTTGAGGGTGTGGTTCGGCAAGCCTCATTTGCATATTCACCTGTCGCGGCGCACCCAGAGGCTTTTTAGTGGGCGCGTCAACAGGATGCCAAGGTGGTTCTCACGGGAGGAGGAAGCCTATGTGTGGTGAATGCGGGTATTCAGCGGGATAGTTACGTTTGCATGTGGATATTGCATCGACCGACCTGGAAGCACGTCTCCTTGGAGAGGACGCGCACAGATAGAGAGATTCTCTCCGACACAGGGTGAGATCGCTCCTTTGTGCCACGCTGGACCTCGTGTTTCCTTTTTTGTGTGGAATATAGCCTGAAAAGGCCTACAAACATTTCTGTTTTTGCCGCCGACGGGCGCAGGAGCAACAGCTTTTTTTTGTCAATGAACAATAGCCTGGATTAGGCAGTAAAGACACTTGTTGTGTATCGCAGAGCGGACTGTTTAATTTTGTTTGTGTTGTTTGGCTGGAAAACTGTCAATATAATGGATCCATGCATGAAATCTGTCTCTGTTTATTTGTTTAAGGAGCAGATTATCCGTTTATTATTTCTGTTTACCTTTTATAATATTATTTCATTCAAGAACCCCTTGTGCGTTTAATTAACACAACTATTTTAGATAGTTGATCGTTACAACTGGTTAACACCGCATTGCGTGGTGGAGTCACGAACTTTGCTACATTTACGTGTCTGCACCACGCAAACAACCTAAAGTGAATGAGGCTCCTTTGTCGTGGTGCACACACGCATCCAACTGCACTTTCACTATCCGACGTGTTTATGATGCGCCAACGAACGTCATAAATGTGCGTCTGCTGCTGTGGGGAAACTATGGAAACTACAGTTTTCTACAGCGGACTACAACATGGATGTTTAATAAGTACTAGGGACTACTGTAAACTCATCTAGAGACTCTGCACCGTGCTCTGATGCTGTTGCTTTATGCTTTATGAACGTGGACAACAGAGAAACATATTCTTCAGGACCAAAGTTGGAATTGAAATAAAAAAGGAAAGTGAAACTTATGCTCGTCACCCTCTCCCTCCGGTCCACATTAATACAAATGATCCCAATACGTATGATTGTATGAACTATGAAAAGATCTTAAAAATAAATACAAATGTATTTATTATAAACGTTAGTCCTTAACATCTATCACTGTGTATATCACCATTCAAACATCTTTTAAAAGTTGAACAAACTCCACACAGCTCAGTAAAGACTGTGATGTTGACTTTATTTGATCATTTCAGTAAAAACTAACGTTCATATTTCTCTTTTTGATTATAATACTGATGAACGTTCAGAACAAAGCACTTTGGCAACTTACCACATAGCCTACGTTTTAAAATGCTTAATTAGCACCGTAGCTTTCATGATATCATTTATCGGTCATCGGTTGTTTCCGTGAACGGCCGACTGTTGAGTGACGGCAAATGCTGCGGCTGCAAGGCATTGTGGGACAGCATTTTCTCCTCTCCTTTCGGTGAGGCAGGTTCAGTGGTTCCTAAGCTAAAGGAGGTTATAAAGGTAGTTTGAAACCTCCTTTCCTATCATCTAGAGCAGTGGTTCTCAAACTTTTTTCAATAATGTAAAAATTCAGCCAAGTACCCCCTGATCAGCGCAAAAACAATTTGTTAAGGAAAAAATGCTATAAAGAGGTACAGTACAGCGCTGCACCATCAGTGTCTGATTTATTAAAACAACAACCTTGTAACTGAGAAACACTTAAATGCTACATTTAAAATGTTTACAATCCATCACTAAATTCATGGCAAACCAATTTTAACATCATGCAATAACACTAAGACGACATTAGTTGCATTGAACTGATCTTTTTAATAAGTTGTACTTACAATGTAGTGAAACATGGGCTTGAGCTTCACTGAGGATCCTTGTCATTCTGACAGGGAGGCCACTGTAGTTATTACACTTGGTGTTTTGAAATATGTGTAACTCTGTTCATATCAAACCCACACTGCTCAAACTTCGTTACTTTTCCTAAAATTGGTATATTTGTATATTTCTTTATTTTGGGGCTATGGGAATGAAGAGAAACAAATATATGAGCATTTTATGAGCATGGGATTTTGACCCCTCATGCAAATGCATAATGCTGCGCTATACTTTGCGGCCACACGCCGTTGTCAAGCAACGCTTATTGTTTATGTCCTTTTGAAAAGCAGGCAGTCATATCATTAACTATAACTACTAGATCTGATAGATTTGGACATAGACGCGAGTGAAGTCTAACCGGACACGAGAGAGAGATCCGATCAGCTGCTGTTGATGCAGAACACGCAGCTCTGTATGATCACAGCTCCACCGCTGTGACGGATCGTTGAGCCGAGCAAAATACACTTAGAGTTAGACCTAACACACTTAGCTAGTTTATCTACTCTGGAACTAGCTAAACTAGTTATAAATATATGTATTCTTTACTGTCGGGTCACTTATTACAGGTTCAGCGAGCTGCACGAGACTGACGGGCTGTCAGGAGAGGGAGAGGAAAAGAGAGCACCCCGTTTATTTTTCCCATTTTATTATCCAGAATTTCTGTAAACTTTTGAATAAAGTAGTTCATCTCCTATTAGTAGTTTGTTTAAATGCATTAATTATGTTTTTTTTCCATTAACATAAAATAAATCTCACGTACCCCCTGCCGTACTCCAACGTACCCCTAGGGGTCCGCGTACCCCCATTTGAGAACCACTGACTAGAGAATTCGAACGGCACTTATCATGGCTGCCACTGAGGGACTTCCGGGTCATTTCACTCCGTTAGGAAGGTTCCTAAGCTAAATGGACTATTCGACTTCAGCCCCGGCCGATTAATGGCGTCGGTGGGCGTCAGGCCGACGATGAGCGTCGACATGCCCAACACAGATTGATGTGTCCCGCACCGTCGGGTCTTTTCAACCGTGCAGACGCCTTTTCGGCCGAAAACCCTTGAATCGGCGAGCAGTCGGCAAAAGAAATCACAAGTGAGGGACCCAAACAAACTATTAAGAAGGCAAATCTGAGATTTCATTTAACTCCAGCTCTCGACACAGGTTCAGGAAAGCCCCATGAGCTTCTCGCTGTAGAGTGAAAATGGAACGCACATGCTATTTGTTGTTTGTTTAGATCACGTAGTCTGTTCTTCTTCTCTGTCTTCCGGTTGTTGCCTCTTTTGAATGACGAATACACACTACCGCCGCCTGCTGGTAAGGAGAGTTATTGCCACTCACGCATGCGCAGCTCGTGCGTGCTTCTTGGCCGTCGGCTGAAGTTTTTGCGGTGTGTTCCAATGCGACACATGGCCGAGACGCGAGGCGACGCAACAGTCGGGGTCCGTCTGTGTCAGTTCTTTGTTGTCAGATTGGTATGTCCGGGCCTTAACAAGTAAAGAAGATAACAACAAAAAAACATGCATTTTCAGTCCTGATCCACCACCACTCCTCTGAACATTCTTAAAAGTCTAATGAAACACCCCAGCTCGTGTTCGTCACTTTGTGTGGGACTGGATTTTCTCTCCTAAGATGGCTCCTTCAGCTCTCTTGTGTTTCTGCACAGTGACCTGCAGCTGCCAGTACTTGAGGTAAACCCACATGAGGCTGCCATTCTTCCTCTTGTCCATGTTTAGCAAGTCAGCACAGTGCGTATCTCTCTTAAAAACATCCTTAAGATCAGACTCCAGGTCCAGTTCTGCCAGGACAGGGTCTTTGACAACCTTGATCAGCATGTTCTTCTCCATCTCCAGCCGCTGGTCCCGAGGTTGGATGAGGGAACAGTAAGCGTTCTGGCGCTCCAGAAGCTGATACTCCAGCTCCTTCAGAGTGGCGTTGGCTCGCTGGGACCGGTTGTCTTCTCGCTTCAGGGCCTGATGCAGTACCGCCCCTGCAGCGCCGGAGTTCACCAGCCTCTGCTTTTCTTCCTCCAATGCTTCACGCTCCTTGTAAGAAGACAGTATTTTCTTTTTAATGCAGGTCCATAAGGAAATAGCACAGTAGTGGAAATAAACTGCAAGACAAGATGTTACCTCATGTAGCTGTTTCCGTTCTTCCATCAGCTGATGGCTCTGTGAGACCATGGCCTGTTTGTAGCCTTTCACCCTCTGCCTTTCCTTCTCCAGCTCCAGCTCGAGTGTAGCTGCTGCCCTTCGCCTATCTGTTAGTGTCTCACGGTACTTTATCTCCATTTCGCTTTTTATTGTTGAAATGTCTATTTTATACTGAGCTTTGACCTCCTGGATCTCCCTCTGAGACTCCCTCGTCCAGATCCAACCTAAACGGCACAGTGGAAGTTGAGAAATGATTTAAATAAATAAGATAAATTGCAACTATCTTAAACTCAAGCACCTTTTTCTCAACCAATGGAATTATCTGAAGCTTGTGCTTGTTTGCTAGGTTCGAGAAAGTAAGTACAGTGAATATATCTTAAAATAAGAATGTATACAACAATGTAGACCCAAACAAAAAACCATACTGGCTTTAATAGATGAGATATTAAATTGTCTCTGTCTTTGTGTCAATTTAAAGTCATATGCAGGAACTCAATTTCTGTTTGTCATATTGTCAAGTCATGGCAAAGAAGGAGAATATATTTTAATTGCTACCTAATGGCATTTGATATTTTGGGTTTTCAAAAGCTCAACCAGCTTTGTATGAGCACATTCAATATCTCTACATTACATCATGTAATGTTGTTTTGCTATTCCTGTAACCTAAACACAGACACACTCTGATGTAACTTACGAAATGCAGCCAGTCCCAGCATTGGGACCAGCAGGGCGTAGTTCCATTGATGGCCATCACCGGCCCCCGCCCCCCTTCCTCGGGGGTCTGGCTCAATGTTCCACATGGGGGGGTCATTCAGGTTGTTCATGGAAGCTGCTGTCACAGACACATACACACATGAAGGAAGATCAACGCAGCATAGACTCCTCTGAATATGCATTACAATGAATGTTTACATTTTGCAACACAAACTGGTGCCCCTGAAGTAGCAGTGTCCCTTTTAATCAAACAGGCACACTGCAGTAATATCCTACTAGCTTCTATTAGCTTGTTAGCATTCACCGAATCAGATATGACTACGCTTGAAGGTTCATGATAGCTATATTATTTAATACAAACACATTACAGGACATAATAGTCGTGTAAATCCGACTACAAGTCGGCACACGTCTGTTAAATATTGGTGCTGCGTCTCACCTTGAATGATAAGTCTAGGTCACTTTTGTTCCTGCACACTCTGCTGCTTACACAAGTTTACTCGTTAGCAGTCCATCTATACCGACCGGGGGTATTTCGTAGGAAGTTACTTGATTAAAGATCAGTTTAGGTCTTAAGGGTAAACTCTGTTTGAATTAAGCGAGATGTATTGTAATCTCGAAGTGGTGTTTTAAAAGTTAAATCACGGTTAAAGTAGGGTTTAAATGATAACTGTCGGAAGTAAAATGAGCGACTCCCCCGTTTTCGCAGAATGGTTTGGTCCATTCTATGGAATATCTCATCCTTCACGGTGGCTCAGAATCGTTCCTTCAACTGACAACATGGCGAGTGTCCGTGCTGCTTCCCGTCTACTCTCCAAGAGGATATTATCTAAAACAACAGCTGTGAGTTTTTGCAATTGTCTACTTAGTCCTTCACATAACCCTATGTGATCTATCTATGTGTTTTCTACGCTAAAAGCAAACATTTTGCTGCACTTTCTGCTTTCGTAACTATCAGATTCTGACTTGCGTAACCTGTGTTATGTAGCTCAGGCTGTTTCAATGGGACACCTGGAAAATGGCTATTATGCTAGTCTAACAAAAGGTCATGTATCTATACCAAATCTATGTTTCGTTATATACATAGCGATTTATTTTGAGTCAAATGTCAACATTACAGAGGGATTTGAACAAGTCTGTTAGTTAACGTTACCTCTGTTGCCCTTGTGAAAAACTGTTTAAGCTAACAGTAGCTAGCACAATGTTATGCATACAATGCAAATACATTTAAAAGCGACTGCAGACTTAATGATTCTTACACATATACATGGTTAATCTCAAATGAAAAAATCAAGTACAAAGTGCACTATCAAATCTAAGCTATAAATGATTACACATATTAATGCTATATTATCGATTGTTATGGAAGTGTTATTAGCAAAACAAAGTTGCCTTTAAACATAGCAGTGCTTATTAGAGGAGTATGTTTTATGTAGTTAAGCATATTTCAGTTTATGGTTAATGTTGCAATGGAGCTGCTATTATATATATATATATAGTTCTCCACTGATATCAATTGTTGTATTTTCTGCCAGGTCCCTGCTGCTGCAGTTCAGGGATCCAGAGACTTTCACTTCTCCATCTATGGCAAGAATACAAGTGCCAAAGTATCCGATGATGTGAGTCACATATTTACTCTTTTTCACCATTATATAGGGTTATTTGTGTTGACGCATGATAGGGGTGTATTGTACTGTACATAAGTAAAACGGATAGTTTGTATTGCACTAATTTTGTTCACTGCATAATTTAGTGTCAATATTAAACTTGATAACTTGCTTGACTATCCACCGCTTGCTGGCTGCTTCTAATTGGAAGTTTTTTTGTAACTTCTGCCCTTTTATTGTTTTCAGATTTCTACTCAGTACCCAGTAGTAGATCATGAGTTTGATGCTGTGGTGGTAGGAGCTGGAGGAGCAGGGCTGAGGGCAGCCTTCGGCCTGTCTGAGGCTGGCTTCAACACTGCCTGCGTCACCAAGCTCTTCCCCACCAGGTCTCACACTGTTGCTGCACAGGTATGAGAACATACTGTATGTTATGTGTTCATTAAGGATTTAGATTATTTTGAAGGTTTTTCTACAGAGTTACAAGTTCAGATAATTTTGTATGATTAGACCGGATTAGACACATATAACTAACTCACAATACAGTGTTGTTTGGCACATTCTAAGCCTCATGTAGATTTAATCACTCAATTAAAAGTTCTTAATCTTTAATAAAGTAAATATAAACTGGTTTACAGGGCGGGATTAATGCAGCTCTGGGAAACATGGAGGAGGATGACTGGAGGTGGCATTTTTACGACACAGTGAAAGGATCTGATTGGTTGGGCGACCAGGATGCTATCCATTACATGACAGAGCAGGCTCCTGCAGCCGTAGTGGAGGTAAGAAGGCGCACACACGCGGAAACACATGCCCAATAGTGGATATGTAATTTTTTACTTTGTTTAATCAACACTTTTTTATTTTTGCATCCCATCAATTTTTTTATGCATAGCAGCAAATATCAAGTTGTTGTGCCTCTTTTCCAGCTGGAGAACTTTGGCATGCCCTTCAGCCGTACTGAAGAGGGCAAGATCTACCAGAGGGCCTTTGGAGGTCAGAGTCTCAAGTATGGAAAAGGAGGCCAGGCCCATCGCTGCTGCTGTGTAGCAGACAGGACAGGACACTCACTGCTGCATACACTTTACGGACGGGTAGGTCCCCACACGTGTTCTCTGCCCTTTATTTCACTCAGTTCCTTCCTAAAATACCATGGAATACAGTTTAACCTAATTTCATGTATCCGTCTTCTGTACAGTCCCTTCGTTACGACACCAGTTACTTTGTAGAGTACTTTGCCCTGGACCTGCTGATGGAAAATGGAGAGTGTAAAGGAGTGATCGCTCTCTGCATGGAGGACGGATCTATTCACCGCTTCAGGGCCAAGAATACTGTCATTGCTACTGGGTAGGTATCACACTCACTGTCACAAAAACAGGAACAAATTAGACATTTGTCTTATATCGACTCTCTGAACTTTGGCAGTAAACTTGAGATAGACAAGTTTAAAAATTAGTTGAATCTTCTCTTCCAGGGGTTATGGAAGAACCTATTTCAGCTGCACATCTGCCCACACTAGTACCGGTGATGGAAATGCAATGGTGACCAGAGCTGGCCTGCCCTGCCAGGATTTGGAGTTTGTACAGTTCCATCCTACTGGTGAGAGAAATAAAAAATATTCTTACTAACAAAAACGCAATCTTATTTATGAAAAGCCTTATCTTCTTTAATGCTCTACAGCAGCTAAAGGCATGCTTAAAATCTATTTCTATATTTTTGATAGTAACTTGAGCTAGTGTTGTTTCAATAAATGTTCAAAGTCCAATATGTTGTCTTTTTGTAGAGGTGTGATAAGACTCTGCCTAGTTGTCCTGATTGTCTTTTGTCCTGTGGTGCGGTTGTTGCCATTTTATGTTTCTGAGTTTGAATTTCTACAAAAAACTAATCATGGAAGAGATGTAAACCATGTTGTGTAATGCTTAGACAACTTCCTGTGTCTGGGAGAGATAACGGATATTTATCCTATTCACTTCATGGGAAATCTGTTACACTTGCACTTGGAATACTTTTAGGTTAGGTGAGGAAGTCATGCTTACATGTATGGAGGCTCCCCAATTTTTGGCTGTTCCATAGCTCTGTTCAGGCCTGGCTGTCTCCAATAACCGAGCCTAGTCAGTAAAAGACCAGTGGTCATCTTTATTTTTGTTCCTGCTGGGAATCTGACACCAGGCCCCTCTATGATGTGGCATGTAGGAGGTCAGCACCAACTGCTGAGCCACTGCAGATTTGTTCACCTTTTGTAAACCCCAATATCAATATATCATCAAGAATATTTGAGCCTTCTCAAATTTCAGCGAGTCCTTTTTAACATGTGAATCGTTCCAGGGATCTACGGAGCCGGTTGTCTGATCACAGAGGGTTGCCGTGGAGAGGGAGGCATCCTGATCAACAGTGAGGGAGAGCGCTTCATGGAGCGCTACGCACCCAACGCCAAGGACCTGGCCTCCAGAGACGTGGTGTCCCGCTCCATGACCATCGAGATCAGAGAGGGCAGGTATGGATTAAATGAGTGTGTGATGTAGTGTTTATTTTGGCAGCTATTTTTCATTTAGTGTAAGTCCTGTTTCAAATGGCCTTGTTCGTTATTTTCATATCTAGTCTACCCGATCCTTTAATTAAAGGTTAAACGGAATACAAGTCTTAGCATTATCAGGTAAACCCTACTACTTTAGTTTGAGTCAATAAAACTGTGGAGAATTACGTTTTCTTTTTTTGTCAGATTATATAGAATATTTCAGTCGATCTACTCTAGCCAAAATATGACCTTGTTTTTTTCTAAAGACCTCTGTTTTGTTTTTGTGCATCCTGACTCAATGTGTGATGCCGCTCTAGTCCTGATGAGTTTTTTTTTTTAAACTTTCTTTTCTGTCACTATTTTTCAATCAGTTCTTTTAGTCATAAAAATTACACTTTGATATAGCCTTGTTCGTCATGAAAAAAGGCGTTGTAAATGAACATACTTCTTAGTCATAGTTTGCATGAACAAAATGAAAACTGGTATGTCATGTAACTGTGTATGAAAGAAATGTCAAAACCTTTGTACACATAAATAATTTCCTTCCTCCTGTGTGTGCTCCTTCAGGGGTGTTGGTCCAGAGAAGGACCACGTGTACCTGCAGCTCAACCACCTGCCCCCCCAGCAGCTGGCCACACGGCTGCCTGGTATCTCAGAGACGGCCATGATCTTCGCTGGAGTCGACGTCACTAAAGATCCCATCCCTGTTCTACCCACCGTCCATTACAATATGGGTGGAATCCCCACCAACTACAAGGGACAGGTATGTGATGTGTGCACGAGCACCTGCATCCACACTAATTACAACCAAGTGACCCACCTTATTAACTGTTTTTCCCATCAGGTGATCACTTATACTGAAGGATCCGACAAGGTGGTTCCTGGCCTGTATGCGTGCGGCGAGTCGGCGTGTGCCAGTGTCCATGGAGCCAACCGGCTGGGTGCTAACTCTCTGCTGGATCTGGTGGTGTTTGGAAGAGCCTGCGCCCTCACCATCGCCGAGGAGAACAAGCCAGGTGAGCCCCCTCTAATGGCTAATGCCTACTATAAGAATAATGAGATTCTTAAAGCCAGGGAAGGCAGTTTTCTGGAAAAGGTAAAAAAGCAGTAGAATTTCCAAATACAGCCCTTACGGTGTGTCCACATAGCAGCTTTGACCAAATCTTGAAAATCCTGGAGCTGGGCGTGTCTGACAGCTTGGGGATTTCGCGACCAACAACCAATCACATGAATATCACATGAATATCCCGCCCCCGACATACAAAGCAAAACAACCCGGTTCTTCTACACTATTGTCAAATAGGAAGGGCTATGATGAACATTTATTTTTTTAACATTTTGAACATTTATGAGATTAATGTTTATGGTGCTATTTTATGCTACATTTCATGCTGGCTAATGATACTGTCTATGCTTGCTAGCAACGAAGTACACTAGCAACGATGTAAACTGGATATAAAATCCCCAAACAAGCGAAAACCTACCAATTTCACCCACTGTCTCTGCCACCTCCCTCCATGCCTGGTTCCTCCGGTTTGTATCCCGGTAAGTAAATAGGGACTGGTCATAAAGAACCGGGTGATTTGCTACCGCAATAACTAAGTTCTCCTCCATTTTTGTGGAATATAGAAATGAAATGCGGTCTGGTTCTCCCAGCTTGCACGCGGTTTGATTGGCTAGCGCTTGAACTGTCAGATTTGCATAAACGGATCTGATTGGCTGTCGCTTCCAGCTCAGCCTCAAAAGTTGAACATTGTTCAACTTTGGAATCCTGAACATCCTGAAAATCCTGGAAATCTTCGCCTCGCCCCCCCACAATGCAGTTCGGCGACAAGCGAGGGAAAGTGACGTCATCCCCATTCAAAGTCAATGGGTGGAGACGCGCTGGAAGCGGTGGACAAATCGCCAAAAGCTGCTGTGTGTACGGGCCGTTATCCTGCAGCTCTCCTCTCTACACACTCTTTCCTGAGCCCCACCCACCAGAACCTGAACTAGTCATTTTTTTCCTTTACATTTTTGCAAGCTTGTGGGCCTGACATAACCGCAGAACATTTCTCTCGTCTTTTTAAAACACTTTCGATATTGTATTATTGCATTATATACTTTCTTATAGACTCTCTTTTTACTAAGTCTGTCTTGCTTTTTCTGGGTTGTTTAAGCACCTTCTGAAGGGACGTGCATCTGCTAATGTAGAACAGCCAATAAGAATGCCTTCTCTCTGAAATGACCTGTGATTGGTCAAAGTCTTCTGCCTACAATTTCTGAAGCCTGTAAACAGAGGAGGTGCTGAAGTCTAGTTTCCTCTGAGCCTTATTTTAAATAATCTCAAAGGTCAGAATGGAGTTTTTGCAACATGACTCAAATAACCTAGTTTTAAGATCTGTTGAGATTTTTTCACATTTGACCCTGAGCGAATATGTCTAGGAAATCAGATTAATTTTTCTAGATGGATGTAAAATTTAAGTCGAATATACTAATTTTCAGTTTTGATGTAAATGAACACCACTACTACAGGATTATATTTAGTGTTGCAGTGCAAATCACCTGCTTACTTCATAGCTGACTCTGGTGTGTTGTTTCCTCTTCAGGAGAGAAACTGTCCCCTCTGGCGCCCAGTGCAGGAGAGGAGTCTGTGGCCAACCTGGACAAGCTGAGGTACGCCAACGGAAGCCTGAGAACCTCCGAGATCAGGCTCAACATGCAGAAGGTAAACACTAAAGAAACACATGAGATCCCTTACATTGTGCATTAGATACATTATTTGAAATGTGTTTCCTAAAGAAACTTCTTCAGAAACGCATAAATAATCTGCCTCTTCCTGCTTTTCCTTAGACTATGCAGGCCCACGCTGCCGTGTTCCGTACCGGCTCCGTTCTGAAGGAGGGATGCGAAAAGATGGATGCCGTTTACCAGACCTTGGCTGACATCAAGACCTTTGACAGAGGTACTGCACTACTGATTGACTGTCTTTTTACAGCTCCTTGAGTCTCTTTCATGCTGCAAGTGCTGAAGTTCCTTCTCTTTCTTCTCCTCCAGGCATCGTGTGGAACACAGACCTGGTGGAAAGTTTGGAGCTGCAGAACCTGATGCTGAACGGCATCCAGACCATCAACTCTGCCGAGCAGAGGAAGGAGAGCAGGGGAGCCCACGCCAGGGAGGACTTCAAGGTGGAATTTGCTATACTAAATCTGGGTTTCTTTCTCATTGTTGCTGTGTTTTTTTCCTTGCCAGTGTTCTTTTTATGTTTTTGCATTAGCAAATTATTCCTGTGTATTGCTGCCGGTCTTTCCTCTGACATTGTTTTTGTTCGACTTTATTCCAGGATCGTCTCGATGAGTATGACTACTCCAAGCCCCTGACGGGTCAGGTGAAGAAGACCTTCGAACAGCACTGGAGGAAACACACTATGTCCACAGTCGACGTAAAGACTGGAACGGTGAGTGTTGTGGGGCTTACAGCAGGAAGTTGGGCTTTTCTAGTAACCATTATTCACTTAATATGCCAGAAGAGGTTTGATCTTTGTTTTTGTGTGTTCCCAGGTGAGCCTGGAGTACCGCCCTGTCATCGACACCCCTCTGGATGAGCAGGAATGTGCCCACGTCCCTCCTGCCATCCGCTCCTACTAAGAAGATTCCCTTGCCCACGCTCTACTCTCCTCACACATTCAATACACTCATTGGCCTGCTATTTATCAACTTACTCTCCCTGTAAAAGAGAGGACATTTTGGGACGTTCATTTAAATCGCACATGTGTATCCCTTCTCGAATTGTAAAATACAAAAAAAATCCCTTCGTCTCACCTTCTTGTTCCTCTGTGGTTTGCCTTGATTTAACCTGCATGCAGCCAATATGATTTCAACATTGTGACCTCTGTGTGAGCTGGATATTGTTGTATATATTACCAGGCAACAAAAAACATAAAAAATAGTTATGTGTTGCACCACTTAAGCTTTGCTTTCTGTGATGACACCATACGCTCATATTAAAACTTTGCAATGCTTTCTTTGATTACATTTTTTCTTTTTTCGCTTTCTGAACAGAACAGATTTGAAATGCACATGTTGCCGACAAGCAGCAAAGGGAACTTTTAAGTATGTAAATATTGCATAAATGCACAATAAATACGTGTTATACTGTATTTTCTTTGTCGAGTAGGCTATGAGGTAGTATTTTCTTGCTCATTATGGCCTTCAGTGTTGGGTGCTTTCTGTGACACTTCATGTGTGGTTCAAATGATAAAGAACATCTCATGCTACGTACAGTAGATCAACTGCTGACTGTCTGTAAGCTTCAATCATCTAGTTATTAAAAGGTTAACCAAATCAAGCAGTTCTGTGTGTATGTATTCAGCCACAATGTGTTGAAACAATGGCTTCTTTCTACTAAGTGGGATTGCTGTATGCCCTCTGAAAACTTGATAAATTCCAGGAAGAGTCAGTGTTGTGTGCAAAGCTTTTAGGGTGCTGATAAGCAATTAAACACTGAGCGCCAGCTCTGAGTGCATCATGAGCGGTGAGAGAGGTTTCCATTCCAAAACAAAACTGTTTGTGAAAGAACCTCACACTTTTCCTGCTTTGCCAGAATGGCTTTTAAAAATGTAGCCTACTCACTTGACGTACTACACAGATTCCCAATCATTGCTTCTTGTTCTAAATCATTGAAAGGATTACTTAATTTATTTGCTATAAGTTCATTTGTTCTCCTCTTACTACCATTTGTACTTATTTTTACATGTTCAATAAAGTGCAGACATAGAAACAAGAGCATTTTGGTTTTGTTTGTTCACAACAACAACACAGACTCCTCCATATTTGAATTCCCATATGTGCATTGAAGTGAAATCTTTTGGTGCAATTGGACCAAGGTACGTTTTAACGGTTTGTTTTGTTAAAACAAGTATGCCACTCAATGTTTCGTTTCCATAGGTGGGTGGGTCTCCAGTGCTTCCTTGCTTCTGATTGGCTAGTTTGCCCTATGCTTGCGCTGTACTCTTCAAAAATAAAGGTTCTAACTCTTTGCCTTTACACAGTGCAAAAATGACAAGCTTCTGCTATCTTTGATGAGCGATTATTTTTGGCCATACGTTTTTAATAAGACTGACGAAGTTGGAATCAGTTGTAGTTACAAGCAACTATCCCAAATACTATGAAATACTTTTACTGTTTCTTAAGTAGGCTACTCTCCTGTCAAAGTCCCCTCCATAGTACAACAATGCCTGTCTTTCTGCTATATGTCATATGTGATGAGCAATACAAATACTTTAAGTTCTTAAGAAGACTGATCATTTTGGACTCAGTAGTTAGACTATAGCGCAAAGACTATAAAATACTTTTATAGGCTACTTTCAGATAAATCCTCTGTCAAAGTCCACCCTGAATACCCCAGTGCAGATGCTCCTGTTGTCTCTCAAACACAAGCAGACACATTACTTTTCAAAAATGGAAAGTTGTCTTGGTCCCGCTCCCCACTTGAAAAACAGGGTAAGTTTAGTGCTGCTAATGTAATGAAAATGGCTCCAGGCCCCACAAGATATGCTGTCAGCCATGTCTAAGACCTGAAGTCAGCATTGAGCCCTTCTTAACACCATCAATAGAGGATTGATGAAACAATATACTTGACATTATGAATTTAAAGGTGAGATGCATGCATGGGGACAGTTAGGAGTTGGGTGGGGACCACTTACAAGTCCACATTGGTTTGTTCATTTTGGCAGGAGTGTAGAAATCAAAAGGGAGGCAACGGCATGCCTTTGGAATGCTGACACTGGAAGGGAAATATTTCCATATTGACCCCAAACACAATAGAAGTTACTATCCTTGATAATATACTGTACATTTCTTAAATGTCAAAATTGTACTTGGAAATAATATAGATCCTTTAACAACAGCAAAAATATCATCCTTTAAAATGTTACGTCAATCAGTGAGATTTTTTGGTGATTTATATATTTTACAATGGTCACATAATAGGAACTAGAAAATGCATTTCCTGCAGAAAATGCGTGCGAATGCTGTAAACTGTGAACATTTATGGCTGAATTGAGCTGAAAATGCAGAAAAAGCTGAATGTGTTATTAGCTGAATGGTAGCTGCTTTTAGCACAAAAAAATAATTCTTTCATATTTAAAAGAAAAGGTTTAAAAAAAGGTATAAACAACAACATGTATAGCCTTGATGTCCTGAAATAGCTGAATAATGTAATAGTTGAATGGTTTCTGCAGCTGAAAATAGGCTGAAGGAGTTAAATATCACATGTAAGTAGTAGTGAATGAATTTGTATTAAGATGAGAAAATAAAGTAAAAAGGCTTGGGAAAGCAGAAGAATATTTGAACTGCAAACTTTTGAACTAACTTGATGGTGAATGATCTGTCGCCATGCCAACGGCATTTTATGACATCCCATAATACTCTTAGATGTGTTGATGGCTGCATCGTTACCAAACCTGTGAAGTTTTGGGCCATTTCGAGCATTTTCACTGAAGTTATGAGAAAACCGTGTTTCATGGTGAGCATTGTGTTGCCATGGCAACGGCATTTGAAGAAACCTCAAAACTTTCCCGTAGATGTTTTCACGGCTGGACTGTGAGCACACATGTGAAGTTTGAGCACTTTTTGAACATTTTCATAGGAGTTATACATTAAATTAGGAGGTTACATTACTCTCTCTCTTCTCTCGATCGCCCTATCTGTCTTCTCTCTCTTGATCGCCCTCTCTCTCTCTTCTCTTGATCATTCATCATCATCGGTGTGTGTGTGAGAGAGAGAGAGAGAGAGAGAGAGAGAGAGTCTGTGAGTGAGTGAGTGAGTGAGTGAGTGTGTGTCTGTGTGTTAATTGTTACAGCTCAAATGCATTGCAATAACTTCCATGTTAAAAAAAGACTTTAAAAAGCTGAATATTTTAAAAAGTATAACATTTAGAAAAAGTTGAAGGTTTCCCATCGATTCCTGAACAGGCTGAATAGTTTAATATTTGAATGGTTTCTGTAGCTGAAAATAAGCTGAAGTTATGGAGTGCCAAAGTATTGGCTGAAATAAGGGGAATAAAGATTTGAAGCACTATAGTGGAATGCTGCAAACAGCATTCGCACTAATTATGGATGTATAGTCAGGGCTGCACATAACTGGTGCGCAGGTGCGCATGCGCACCTCCGCCAAAAAATGAGCACTGGGTCATTTGAAAAAAGGCGCATTTGCGTACCAACATTGAGGGAGAGAGGAGAGAGAAGAGAGAGAAGGGAGAAGAGAAGAGAGAGAAGGGAGAAGAGAAAAGAGAGAAGAGAGGAGAGAGAGAAAGATATTTGCGAGTTGCATATGAACTCAGGGTTGGCCCCGCCCCCGCCCCCGTAGCACTGGCGTTATAGATGTTCGCCTAGGGCGCCAGATCCGGGGAGGCGCTGCGCTGGCAGCTCTGGGAGGGAAAAAAAATGTTTGACCGTTGGGGCTCATCCTAATTTTCGGCCTTGATGTAACAACATTCATAATTAAGTAAATGTAACACCCTTTTCACCCCGGTTACACGTTTCATTTGCCCTGTACGATGGGCGCTGTAAGTGATGAAAATGGGGGATGTTGGCTTAGCTGGCGCCCGCAGCTCACAGCCAAAGTGCGAGTGAGCGTGGGATCGAGGGACGGTGCACCGGTTCCGGCGCTGTTGTTATTAGCATCTGGTGCTAGCAGTGGCGTTTTCTCCTGGAGGCCAAGGGAAGCCAGGCTTCCCCTGTTTTTTCGGATTGTAGTTATAATTTTAATAAATAAATAAAAACACTTCGTTTGGTTTCGGTAATTGTTCTTTGCTGTGTGTTGCTGCCGGCCCGTCTCCCCCATTCTCATTGAGTATTTTACAAAGAGTGAAACAAACAGCGCCCCTCTAGATGTTATGGTGAAACAGTAGATTGCACTCACTGTTGCGAGAGGAGGCCAGCCGAATCTGGCTTCCTTTGGTGAAAAAAAATTGAGGGATTGACCAATCAGATGAGGCTCACGTGATGTCCCTTCCAACCTGTGATTGGTCAGGGCCATGCCAAGGGAAGCTGGAGGCGGCTGGCTTCCCTTGCCTCACAATCCAATCAAATCGCATCAAAGTGATGCGTCCTAAAATCCGGAAGTAAGCTGCGCTCGGTTTCCCTCGACAACAAATAAATGGGATTTCTCCATAGGACTTAGGAAAATAGCTCGAAATAAGGTCAGTGGAAAACGAACCTGTTAGATAAATGCACGTTTTGTTCAGTCGGATAATATCCACATGTCTACCCTACTTTTATAATTTTCGAATCATAAATCTAATCGATAGAAGATAGATAGCGTCACTCTCACCGCCGTTAGAAAGTAGCAAGCAACTGAAGCAAGTGCAATTATGGAGGGTGGAGATTTGGAGTATGTCATCAAAAATAATTGTACTAAACTTCCGCTATAGCAGCAACAACAACAAGAAATACAATCTGATGACAGGCCAATGCCCAAACTGGAGCTGTGTACAGAGAGGAAAAAAGGAGCGAATCGGACGTAAAACGTTAAAGGTCTCCTGATTTAGTTTGTGAATGAATGCTTATTAGAATTTCGGCTGGAGAGTGCGTGCGGACCTGTCGGTTAGATAACAGGCGTGTGTAAGTCCTGCATCTGTATGATACAAATGTGTGTAAAATGATACCGGGTGCTGTAATCACTCATCTGGTTACGTTATTATATTGACCACCACACCCCCGACCCAAAAGAAAGGACGTATTATTGGCTTCCCCTAATTTTTTCCCCACGCCACGCTACTGGGTGCTAGCTGCTCTAACGGATATAAGAAGAAGATGTTTCTACAATAATGTGGAGGGAGAGTCCTCTCCAGTCAGACTGAGGCTGATAACTACAGCTCAGTGAGGTAAAGGACTCTGAGTGTTTAGATAGTTCACTTTAGTCTAAGTTGTCTCAGTGGGTCTCAAACGTTTTGGTCACAATTTATGTAAACACATATTTCCAAGGCACTCCTTTATAATTATTGGGATAAACAGGTTTGAAATCATTCCAATGTATACTATAGGACAGTAAACCAAAAATATCCTTTAACACTGGAAAGATTTAAAAAAAATGCATAAATAAATAAATGTTAAGGTAAAATAAGATATGAACAACAACAATAAAATAAGTTACATTAATTTGTTATTGGCTATGGTAGGTTATTGGTTATGTTCACATACTTATTTGATTACATCCACTTGTCTAAGATGACAACGGAGACTTTCGACCCAAAACCAGCAGCTATCGCAGACTCAACCAGAGAGAAAGTAGTAGGCCTACATCATCAGCTACCATGTCTGACAGAGAGGAAGACAGTGAGGAGAACAGTCAGGAGGGTAGTGATGACAGCTTGTAGGATTACTGGTCGTGCTAATGTTGTCTTGTGTTCACCTCTGCATGTGTGTTCTGTGTTCACCTCAGCATGTGTGTTCAGTGCCGTGTGTCTGGCAATAAAGTCAAGACCCCCTCAAAAGTTACGGTTTATTTCATTTTAAGGATGAGCACCAAGCAACATCTCCAGGTGCTCCTTTGAGAACCAGGGCAAAAAAGTTATGCGCACCCCTGTGTATAGTGTATAATGCTGTGGGTGGAGGGGGAGGTGGGGGTAGTGTTTTATTTAAATGGTTATTTAGATAATCAATCAATGGTTATTTAGATAATCAACAAAGAAACAAAGTACTTGAAACATACATTTTGGTAACAATTTTGAATATGATCATTTTCTTGAGCTTTAAACTCCTGGGGTCAAAATTACCACCA